AATAAGCAAAATTGTTTATCTTTTTAAATACAGCCACGTTATCAAAACAGTAACATCCTTATCTTGATAAAACATGTAAGGGCATGTAAGGATAGATGGCCACAGTTTGCTTCATATTATGCTAAATTTATCATATTGTGATAATTACATGTAAATAGTAAATCCCACAGGGATCAGGGGAAACCCTTGGCTTTTCATGTTATGAAGTAACCCATTTATATGAGCCTTGGGACTTCAAGCATCACTGGAGATTTTTTTTCATCCTCTCTGATCCTCAGTCAAGCCAGGAATGGGGACAGGGAAGTATGTGTGAACTGGGTCATTGGCTGCCATGTAGGATTGTTGTCCTCAGGGAGCGTAGTATGTAGAGCAAAGATTGAGGTCACAGTGTGCTTGTCCAGCCCCAGGTAGAGGGCACCCTGCACAATGGAAGGTGTGTACTTGAGAAAAATAATGTCGGCATGTCATTTCCTCCTTGATTGTCAATTGTGTTCAAGTCCTTAGCAAATCCTATGTTTAAATTCTTGTCTAGATTTTTCTAGGAAAGACTCTGAGTAGATTGTATTTTCTTGCCTTGTAAGTGTCGAGTAAGGACTCAAGGGCTCAAAATTTATCTTCAGCACTTTTGAAAATAGTTTTCTTTATTAAAATTTGTGTAGATAAGAGTTACCCTGTCACTTTAAAGTATAAAAATAGGGCCCTGGGAGATGGTGCTATGGGTAAGAGTATTCCTGTGTAAGAATGAGAAGGGCATTTTGATCTCTGAGCACTCAGACAAGAGTGGCATTATCTGGCATGCATGCCTGTGCGTGCCTGTAACTCCAGCATGGCGGGGCAGTGGCGAAAGGCAAGTCCTAAGAGCTCAAAGGCTAGCCAGCCTAGCTGAGTCAGCAAGCATCAGGTTGAGTGAGAGATACACTGTCTCAAGGAAATAGAGAGAGAGAGAGACACACACCTGATGTCCTGCCCTGGCCTCTGTAAGCATATGCATGGGTCCACAGATCTGCAAGCAAGCACATGTACACACATATGCCCGTACGTACACATACAGATTTTTTTTTTAAAGCCAAAAGTATGAAAATGCTTTAAAATGTCTTACTATCTGGCTTCAAGTTCCTAGCCCAAGAAGGTAAACATTGTTAGATTTACACACACTCTGTATTTTCACCAGGTAGTTTTTAAGTCTCCAAGAATCTTAAAAAATCTGTTTTCTAGCCGGGTGGTGGTGGCGCACGCCTTTAATCCCAGCACTCGGGAGGCAGAGACAGGCGGATCTCTGTGAGTTCGAGGCCAGCCTGGACTACCAAGTGAGTTCTAGGAGAGGCGCAAAGTTACATAGAGAAACCCTATCTTGGAAAAAAAAAATCTGTTTTCTAAAGGGTTACGGTGGAAGATGAGCCTCTGGCTAGGATGTAGCTTAGTGGTAGAGTGCTGGGTATCCATAAAGCCCCAGTCTGGTCCCTGACACTGTGAGGAAAACTGGGAGCAGGTGAGAGCCATCTCTGAAACTTTGTAATTATAATCTGGTAGTTTGGATAGTCTGGTATGTTTATTGCATGTGTTCTGTTCCTGTGTATTGAATAAATTACATTGCTATCCAGTCCGATTTCCAGAGTGTGTGGTGATAACAGAATGTGTCGGTGGCCTGGATTCTAAATGAATCTATCCCAGAGAGGCTGTTTACACCTGAGAGGCCCTCTCACCTGCTTTAGCCTTACCTTCCCTATGTAGGTACCAGAAGGATTAAAAAAGGGGGGGTTAGTGGGGGAGTAGCTTAGGTGGCACCTGCCTATAGTCTTAGTTTCTCTGGAGGCTATGGCAGAGGACCACTTGCGCCCAGGAATTCAAAGCTAGCCTGGGCTACAGAGAGATTGAGGCTCAAGGAAAAGAGGAGAATATAGACTACTCTGAAGAGTAAAACCTACCATTGTTCTTAGCTGGTATGTGGCCAACATAATTTCTTAGAACTTTGGACTGGCTAATTCTATGTCAACTTGACATAGGCTAGAGTCATCTGAGAGAAGGGAGCCTCTATTGAGAAAATGCTTCCATAAGGTCTAGCTGTAGAGCATTTTCTTAGTGATCAATGAGACGGGCCCAGTCAATTGTAGGTGATGTCATCCCTGGGCAGGTGGTCCTAGGTTCTATAGGAAAGCAGGCTGAGCAAGCCATGGGGAGTAAGCCAGTAAGAAGCACTCCTCCATGGCCTCCAGGTTCCTTCCCTGACTTCCCTCAGTGATAGACTGTTAAATGGAAGTGTAAACTGAAATAAACCTTTTCCTCCTCCCAAAGTGGATTTGATCATGGTGTTTCATCATAGCCTTAGTAACTCTTAAAGGTAAACATTGAGGAATTGATATATAGAAAATGTTGTTACACTGTTAAATATTTAGATTTTTTTGTCATTAATATAATAAGTGATTCATAATTTATCTTTTGTACTAATTCTATCATGGCAATATCTAACTGGATATTGTCTGCATTTAGGGAAGTGGCAATTAATGATAAGCAATAAGTGGCAATAAGTGATAACTTAAAAACTAAAGCCACGCCGGGCGTTGGTGGCGCACGCCTTTAATCCCAGCACTCGGGAGGCAGAGCCAGGCGGATCTCTGTGAGTTCGAGGCCAGCCTGGGCTACCAAGTGAGCTCCAGGAAAGGCGCAAAGCTACGCAGAGAAACCCTGTCTCAAAAATCCAAAAAAAAAAAAAAAAAAAAAAACTAAAGCCACTAAAGAATGCCACATACTTTTCTCGTCTCCAGGTAGTTTAAGACACAGTGGGGATTTTACTCAGTTTAGAACTGCGGATTAGCAAATCTTAGGAATTGTTTTACCATGTAAAGCAGCCACAGGAAATGAGAGCGCTTTTATCTGATTGATAAATATTATTTTGAATGTAACTTGATATTTAAATATTATTCTAGGTGTAATAATTCTGAGTATTCCACTGGCTCTTGGAACACAATCCAGATGTTCCTTTACTTCGAGCACTCCTGGATGATGATAGTTTGTTTGTGACTCCCTGAAAAATGAGAGGAAATATTTGCTGCTTAAAAAGTTCTGTCAAATTTGTCTGTCACCGCAGAACGGGCCGGCGCCATAGGGACTGTTTGTCACAATAAGGAAATATTTAGTTTACTCTTTTTAGTTACATGTGCTTTCTTTGTTCATATTTAGATTTGTTTTGATTGTCGGGACTGTTTATTTCCAGACATTAAGCATTATTGTTTCCTGTTTTATCCAACGCAACTTGATGGTTGAAATGCTTCCAAAACTGAAAAAATTTTCATTTAAAACAAATATTTCCCAGAACACAGCATGGGGAGTGAACAGTCTCTTCAAATCTGGAATAGTAGCATGTGTGTGAAACAAGTTTTTTCTTCACTGACTGTTACTGCGTGGGGAATGTTAGGTTTGCACTTCCTATAAAATGAAGCAGTGTATTCAGTCATATGATGCCCTTCACAGTGACCTCGGAGCAGCAAAGTACAAGATCTTCAGTGTGTGTGGTAGTTTATTCATGCAATGACAAGTGTAGTGTAGACCCTGGCAATGACTAACTAGACAGACAGCAAGGAAGCAAGCCCTGAGGCATCCGTGGGACATGCACGGGAGGCCTGGGATGGGAAAGGGAGGGGACTTCTGGGGAGCGGGAGGATTTTAGGGTCGGGGGAGGAGGATCGACGGGAAACAGACTGTGAAGAACTTTTGCATGCTGATTAAAAATAAACAAATGTACTCATTATTTGGAGACAGTGTCTCTCTCTGAATCAATCCTCAGTTGGCCTAAGAACATCTGTATAGACCAGGCTGTCTGGAACTCAGAGATCTACCTGCATCTGCATCCCAAGTGCTGGGATGAAAGGCGTGTGCCACCATGCCAAGTCTAATAAGTTTTTAAAAAGGAAACTGTAAGAGGAAAGAAAAGCATTTCAAGTTTAATCATTTGAATTTTTCCTTGGTGCTTATCATGTCAGAGATAGTGGTCACTATCAGATTTCTTTTTAAAAATGTTCTCTGTGTAGTTTTGGTGCCTGTCCTGGATCTCGCTGTATTACTGTATTACAATCGACTGTATTGCTCTGATACCAGATTCTCTGTCTCTGTCTGTCTGTCTGTCTGTCTGTCTGTCTGTCTCTCTCTCTCTCTCTCTCACACACACACACACACACATGCACGCACACACGCACACAAACCCCAAATCAATCTCTCTGATGAACAGAAGTACAGAAATTCCCAATAAAATGCTGGCAAACTGAATTCAAGATCACATCAAAAAGATCATTCACCCCGATCAGGTTGACTTCACTGCAGAGATTTAGGGATGGCTCGACCTACAGTAGTTTGTCACACAGCTAAACTCAAAGATAGAAATCACAAGATCACCCCAATAGACACAGGAAAGGCCCTTGACTATCACATTTCTTTGTCAATTGACCAGGAAAATTAAAAATTAAATGACGTTGCATTGGAGAGGTGGTCAGCAGGTAAAATTACTTGCCATGGCAGTCTGGTGATCCTGGGACCCACAGGAAAAGAGGAGAAGCAGCTCTGGGAGGTTGTCCTCTGCCACAGGAGCACAGTGCTGTTCAAGTGCTTGCACTTACATGCACATACCTCACAAACACACACACACACACACACACACACACACACACACACACACACACTCTAAATTAAATTAAAAAATCAAAGCCATGAAATCATTATTTTGCCTCCAATTTTTTATGTCTGAGTTGTTTAATCTGTTTGGTTCATATGCATAATTCTCAGCTCCACATGAATCTTCACAGTCAGAATTAAAACCATTGACTATATTTATGAATTCCAACCACCCTGATCCCCGATCAATTCCAGTCTGCCTCGCTGTATATGTCCCACTGTCAGTGTGGTTCAAACACTTTCACGTGGTGTAGTTAGCTGTTTACGAACCTATAGGGCGGTGATTATAAAGTTTAACCTGGCACACTTCCTTATGCTTTCATTTCTTCCTCTTGCAGTTGAGAAAGGCCGGCAGAAGAATCCCAGAAGCCTGTGCATCCAGACCCAGACAGCTCCAGATGTGCTGTCCTCCGAAAGAGCGCTTGAGTTGGCTGAATACAAGACAAAATGTGAAAACCAAAGTGGATTCATCCTGCACCTCAAGCAGCTTCTTTCCTGCGGCAATACCAAGTTTGAAGCGTTAACCGTTGTGATCCAACACCTCCTGTCCGAGGTAAAGATGTAAACCCTCTGGCGTGGGGAAGGAGGATGCTCAGCTCACACTTGTCCTATAAATAGGTTTAACGATTGGAAGACCGGGCAGCAGCCATCTATCACTGTCTCTCCGAGTGTGTGTGTGTGTGTGTGTGTGTGTGTGTGTGTGTGTGTGTGTGTGTATACTTGAAACAGTGCCTGGATTTTTGTTGTTTTGTTTTTCGATACGGGCTTCCTCTTTGTAGATGGGGCTGGCCTTGAACTTACGGAGATCCGCTTGCCTCTGCCCTGAGTGCTGGGATTAAAGGTGGGTACTACCACCACCCACTATGCCCGTCTTTTTAAAAGTGAGAGTCCTAGAGATTAAACTCAGGACTTTGTGCTTATAAGGCTAGTGTTGTACTGACTGAGTTATCTCCAGAACTCAAACTATTCTTTTATCACTCATTTCATACTCGTATCAGTCTCTGGAATTTGGGATTACAATGATAGTCTATTATCTTCTCTCTCTCTCTTTCCCTCCCTCCTTCGGTCTTTGTGTGTGGGGGGTACCAGCACGTGTTCATATGGGTGCAAGTACTCTAGCATATGGAAGCTAGAGAGGTCCCCTGTTTCTCTCCACCTTACCTTTTGAGGCAGGGTGTCTCTTTGAACCTGAAACTGGAAGTTTCACCAAGGCCAGGAGGCAAGTGACCTCCCAGGATCCACCTGTGTCCATCTCCCAAGGCTGAAGTTATAGGCACATACTATCATGCCTGGCTTTTTACATGGGTATTGAGGATTTGAACTCGGGCTCACTCCTAACCACTGAGCCTTCTCCCAAGCCTGCAAGTATTTTTTAGTAACCCCTTTTCCCTTCCAGAGTCTCTTCATTGGAAAGATAGTAGTGAAAAGATAATAGCCTGGAGTACTCTAGACTTCAATAGCATTAAACTCTAGACTTCAATAGCATTAAAGTTTAATTCCACTTAATTTTTTTTGTCTAATTATATACAGCTTTCCCATTTAGTGAATACTTTGGAAAATGAGGTTGCTCTTCCTCCCAAGGTCATCCTGTTCAGACCTGGCTGATCACTGGGTCCTGGTACGCTTCCAACCTTCTCTCTGCGGTCCATCCCCAGCACCGCTAACAGCTGAGGCTCTACAGAGCACTCCGTCCTGCTCACGATCCTCTCGTGGCTCTCCACTGTCCACAGATGGTCAGATGTGGTAGCCAGGACTCTCAGAAGAGAGTTGAGCAATAGGTGGGAACCACATGTGGTAGTTAGAATTAGATTGAAATGGGATTGTCTATGTTTGAGCTGAGTAAACCACTAAAGTTAACTTTAAAAAAAATGTGCCTACCAGGAAATTATTAGATTACGCGTACTTGTTAGGAATGATTCTGATTTATTAACTTGGACTATAGAATTTCATCATTTGACACTAGTGGCCTTTTGTTTGTAACCCTCACTGCCCAACTGCTCAGCTGTGTATTAGGGAGATGAAGGAAAGGCAAGATGGAGTTAATATTTGTTAATAATATCTGGCACTTAGTAAGGACTTGCTTATCTTCTTAAATGCTCACCCAAACAATAACGAATGGGAAGGTACAAATAAGAAAATCAAGGCACAGAGTTGGGTGACTCCAGACAGCAAGCAGTGTCGATCCTGCCTGCTGCTTTCCTCGGATTCCTGCTCATTCAGGCCTTCCTAAGTGAGCACCACCCCGTCACGACCTGCACCACCCCACGCTCACAGACTGACTCTACAGACAGTGAAAGTCCAATGTTAGTTGAGTCAAGCAGGCAGCCCTGCCTTCACTGCTGCTCTGTGTGCAAAGGTCCAGGAATGTACCTGAAGGAAGTAGGCATCTATCTCTAAGGGCCCCTTCTGACAGGAGCCTCCTAGGGAGAATATGCAGATGCGATGTCCATAAGAGTCTTTTTGGCCCAGATGAACGTGGCCGCTAAAACACAAGTCATGTCATTTCAGGGGCTGGTTGAGGAAAGAATAGATAGGGCTGTGGAATAAAATGGTTCTGGGTTCAGTCTATTGAGTGATGCTTTACTAGTGCACAGCATGAAAAACTCTTAATGAGTTTCAGGAAGTTTTTTAAGTTCTCGCGTACATGTCCATGACGACTTGGCACCACTGCTGTCGGATGAGGCAGAAGATCATGGCAGGACGCAAGTGATGGAGCACATGGCTCCCACCATGGGAGGCAAGAGGAGAGAAAGATACGGGAAGAGACCAGGCACAAAGTATATCTTTTAACCCCCCCCACCACTAGGAGTCACTTCCTCCACCCAGGTTCCACCTCCCCATCGCCCATTCAGCTCTGAGCTTGTTTGTGGAATAGCCCGCTGATGAAGTTAGCATCCTTGTGATCCAGTCACCTCTCAACAGCACCAGCATGGCGGGGTGGTCAAGCCACGAGTGCTTGAGTGTTTTTGCAGAATGGCTGTATAATAGTGCCTCTGCTGAATCAAGCTCAGGGACCCCTTCACCCTGGCTCTTCCAGCTCTACCCTCTACCCACCCTCTTGACTCTTCTTTTATTTTTTATGTGGTAGGTCCTCACTCTGTGCTTGTTTCTGCTTTTTGGTGTCTATTTTATTATTTGTGTTTGATACATGTACATCGGTGCCTCACTCAATTGCAGTGCCCCACAGAAGCCAGAAGAGGGCGTCAGATTCCCCAGGATCTGGAATTACAGACAGTTGTAGGCTGACCTGTGGGTGCTAGGAATCGAACCTAGGTCCTCTGGAAGAGCAGCCAGTGCTCTTAACCACTGAGTCATTTCTCCAGCCCCTGTTTTTGCTTTTTAAAGATAGAAGGTCATTGAGAGCAAGGGTCTGCCTCCAATTCTTTCTTATAAACCCATCCCAAGAATTGTAGCAGACAAAACCTATGTGAGCAGACAAGGTGAAGGGAGAAGATGGGACCCCAGATATATTTTACAAGATGCACACAAAATTCTCAAGTAAATGTTATTCACTCCTCCTTTGTTTCATAACCAGTGATGCTCGCTGGTTGCCTACTGTGTACAAGGCACTGTTATGAAACAGCTGAAAGGGAGGGACGGGGAAAGTTAAGCAATTAAAATTCTCTTAACCCTTTCCTCCTTTTGTACCCATTATTGACACATTTGGATGCTGTTAACCAGCATTGGTGTTAGTAATGCCAGAGCCTTCATTAAAGGGTCTCTAGGCAGAGAGAATCTAACCTCGATTAGCCCCTTTAAAAAGGAAAAATGGGGGGAAAGGAGGGGACTGGATTTTACATGATGCTAGCAGTCATATTTATGTCTCTGATTCAAAGAAGAAAAAAAGAGGTGTCCACAGTGATAAAGGCACTGTGGGGATGATATTGAAAGAAATCAGACATAGCCACGTCTGAACTGTCTGATGCAGCTCTTTCCTGTAAATCTTCCTGTGTCGTTGAAGCCACTCAGTAGCCAGCAGAATCCAGGCTAACCAGTGGACGACAGCCAGCCACTAAGTGCTTGCATCCCAGTGACCCTAATTAAATTATGGAGAATCCCATCTTTTTTCCTCCTTAGAGCACTTCATATATTTAATGCACAAGTATGAAAGCATCTTTGTATAGATTTCCACCTTGCTCTCTAGTCTCTCATTGTTGGGGGAGGGGGTCTGCATGTTGCAGTACAAAGATAATCAAATAAACTTCTTCTCTGGACTATAAATGGTTTACCATCTATGACAGAGACACTAACCTAAGCAGCTGAAGAAAACAATCTGTCTCTAACTGGCAGAATGTATTTATCATCTTGGAGTAAATAAGTACACTTAAAGGGCAAGCAACCCAGACAGTCCTGCAGAAACTATAGTATGAGCTTTATGGTGTGCATTTTGTGTAGAACACATTTATTTAACACCCCAGGTTTCCCATGGTCCTGTGCTGTTTCCCCTCAGATGATGTCATCTGCTTTGATTGATAACGAAAAAATTGGTTCCGGACGTTTTCTAAGTTCCAAGCTCCCTGAAGGGAGTAGCTTGCTCTGTCTTAATTTTCTTACATATTATTATGGTATAGGATGTGAAATGTACTTAGTCGGTACTGAGTAATAACTCATAATCCAGGAAGATAAATGTCCCTTCTGGGCATTTTTGGGGGAGGGGATGCTGCCTCTGACATTTAACTTTCCAGGAAGTGTATAAGATGAGTTAGGTTAAGAAAGCCAGGCATCCAGAGAGGGTAGCATGGACAAGATCTTGGAGGAAAGGCAGCCTTTGACTTGTGTAGATGAGCTTGGGATGGTGGACAGGAGCTGGACAATTCCAGTACATGGACAGACAGATGGATGGACAGACGGGCACATGCACACGCACACGCGTTGTGGTTTCTGGGGGAGAGCTCAGCCTCAGGTACAGGCACCATCCTTGAGCTCCACTCCTAGTCCCGGCGTTGTGTTTATAATACATAAAGCATATGGAAAATAACCCTCTGGGGTAAAGAAATCCCTTCTATGGTCCAGTACTGGGTTCTATAGAACCAGGAGCAGAATAGAGGTGGCACTGAGAGCGAAATTCAGAGCATTAGAAACCCATTGTGTAGGAAGGGTAGACTGACTGTCTCCCTCTTACACACACACCACCACCACCACC